GTCACTGCTTATGCAGAGGTTAACTCAAAGGAAATGCTGTGGTGGTTTTGCCCTCGGGAGGGCGTTAGGGGCTGAATCGTGCCCGTCACTCCCCCTACAGGTTGCGGCACAAGCCCCCAGCATCTCACAACGTGACCGTGTTTGGAAGTAGGGTCACTGCCAGTGTAATTAGTTACATTAAGACGAGGTCCTACTGGAGTAGGGTGGCCCCCAGTCCGGCCGGCCTGGTGTCTTTCTAGAAAGGGGAGGTTTCTCCTTCAGACACGCATGTGGGGGGAAGCATGTGAAGATTAAGGCGGGGATCCGGGTGATGCGTCTGTAAGCCCTGGAACGCCAGAGGTGGCCAGCAAGCCCCAAGCCCCACCCCAGACGCCAGGGGAGGGCCTGGGGCAGATTCTCCGTCACCCTCAGAATGAGCCAGCCTGTCCACACCTTGACCTTGGACGTCTGTTCTCTGGAGTTGTAAGAAAACGTCTCCCTTGCTTGAGTCTGTGGGACTTAGTTATGGTGGCCGTGGCAAACTCACATCGCAGACTGGAGATTTGGGGTGGGCGGGAGGAAGCTTTTCACCGCGTCATTTTATGCCTTCTGAGTTTGGGGACAAGGGCCTGTATTCCTCATTTATTTAAAGATGGAGGCCGGGACTTGCACCTTTCCTCTGGTCCCTTCTCTTTAGGGAAGGGCTGCCCTTTGGTTTTGGAGAAACTGCAGTGGGCATGTGGGTTACACCAAAAAGAGGCCTCAGATGGGACTTCGGAGTGGGGATGGGGACGTTGAGGTGCAGAGCTCCCCCACAGGGTAAAAGTAAAAGGCAGGGATGGTTTCGCCATATTAGGAAGATTGAGCTTACTTTCTGCCAAGTTCAGAGGCGGTTGGAACCTGGCCAAGCGTGAAAGGCAAGCTGGACTTGTGATATGACGGCAGCGAGGGGTCAGAGAGAGATGGTGGGAGCTCCTGTGACTGTCAGACCCAAAGAGAACTCGTCTTCGGTGTTCCTCCTGTTTCAGTGTCCTTGGGTCTACTCCTGCAGCCTGGGACCAGCTGAGCTTGGGAGGAAGCCATGGGGGCCCATGGACGTGTTTGGGGGGGAGCATGGCAGAGATGAAGGGTCCTGAGGTCTCAGGAGGTGAACCTGAGGTGGGTGAGTGAGCCTGGGCGGGCTGTCTGCAGGCAGAACTCACAAATTACAGTGGGGGAGACCCCGGAACATTCTAAGAGTCCTTGTCTGTGGGCTCTCTGGCACATGGGGGCTTCCTTGGTCATGAGGATGTAGGGCTTGGAAGCTGGAGAACAGGGGCCATTCTGGACACTCAGGCCAGGGTTCATCTTAGCTCAGTGGCTTGCCTACCCTCCCACCTTTCACCCCTGACCCCCATGTTGCTGGAGGGCTGGGGGTCTGCCCAGGAGGCCAGTACCTTTGAATCCTGTAGCTCTCCCGGCTGGATGCGGTGTGGGGCCCTGAGCTCTCACTCATACCATACATCTCGCCTATGGGTATGTCCAGGCTTAGGAAGAACTCAGCGGTCTGTTGGTTGAGGGGTGCGGCTCCGCTGATAAAAGAGTGGCAGCGATCAAGGCCAAGGGCGCTCTTGACTTTGCTGAACACGAGGGCCTTCGACACGCGGTAGCTTATGGGAGTATCATGTGTCCTGTGACTAAGAATGCCAAGGACAAAAAAAAAGAATGCCAAGAACGGGTCAACAGTCATGGACAACCAAATGGGAGTGGGTGGGGAGCCAGCTGGAGAAGGCTGAGCCCCTTCACCCCCTGCCCTCTCCCGGCCTGGCCCCACTGGACCCTGCACCTACCCCAACATCCCTTTTGTATGGATCTTGAAGCCAATAACTCTTCCCCATGAAAACACCTTCTTCCTCAGGCTTGAGAATTTGGCGCCAGTTTCCTTTATTCTCTCCTGCATCTTCTCCCAGATTCGGGGCACCCCCAGGAAGGCAGTAGGCTTTACCTCCTGCAGAGTATTGATCAAGGTGCCCTGCAAGAGACCGAGCTGATCTAGCCGCACCTGCACCTTGCGTGGAACCCACATGTCCGTCTCTCCCCAGCCATCCAGCTCAACCTGATTGGCCCAGGGTGAGCTCCCCACCCAAGGGAGCCAACCCATTGGCTGGCCGGTAGCCAATCAGATTTCGCACGCTCTCTAGGGATTTGGTGGAGCCCACAGACTGGTAAAAACAAACCAACCAACCCACACCTGACCCAAGCTTGGAGTAGAATTTTGCACAACTGTTAATAAGGATGTAAGATTCTTTCCCGATTAGATTTACGGGTTCGGTGCAATCCCTGTCAAAATCCAGGCAGGTTTTTCCACACAGATAGATAAGCCAACCTTAAAAATTTACACGGAAATGCAGAGGACCTAGAACGACCAAAGCAGTTTTGGAAGAGAAGAACAGAATTGGAAGAAATACTATTTGATTTTGCAATGTATTCTAAAACAGGGCGATTGTCCTGGTTTGCTCAGAACTGAAGGACTTCATGGAACGTGGGACTTTCGGTCATAAAACTGGGGATGTCCCAGGCAAACCAGGGCAAGGTGGTCGTCCTGCCAGAAAGCCAGAAAACTCCAGTCAGTGCGGTTCTGGCATAAGGACGGACGTCCAGTTCGACGGGGCAGAGTACATTTATGAGCAGTCCAGTGGAAGAAAGGCTATTCATATCCTGGAAAATAAAAGAGCCCAGCTTAGTGTCTTCTCATCAAACGCAAAAGTGAACTCAACACGGAGCACAGACCTGAGTGTAAGAGGTAAGATGCAGAGGCTTTGTGGGACACACGACAGAAACCTGTGTGGCCCCGGGGCAGACAGGGGTCTCTTGCATAGGGCACTACAGTCACGAAAGAAAAGAGAAACGACCTCATCGGAGTTAAAAATGAGAAGACACGATACTGGCCGGAGGTCCTTGTAAACCAGCATTTGGTTAGAACCCAACCATAAGAAGATACACAACCAAATTTTAAATTTCTTTT